ACTTGGAGACAAAAGTTCAGTGGATTGTTTTTAACTTCATTGAAAGAGTAAAAGCCCCCCTTTAAAGAATCAAATAGACAGCTGCCCCACAAAAACAGAATTAGTGAAATTGTTTCTCGTCACATTTTTTCTTCTACACATTTTGAGTATTTTCAGCTTTTTTTTAAACACATTTAAGGTGTTTTCAGCTAACATCCCATCAAGTCCCTGCCATCATTTAGTAATATTCATCTATGGATGACATCATATTGCCTTTATAATCATATATGGCTTTCAGAGCAATGACTGCCCCCTCCCCATCCTTAAAGTGCAAATGTAACACGTTAGTGATGCTACAATGCATAAAAGTTGCATAAAAGGGAATTTCTGTACTGACCAGAAGGGATCATTCACTCATTTTTTATTTACTTTAAGGATTTGAACCCCTAATTAATCATCTTCAAACTGTATAAGGTAGAATAACACCCTCTTCCTCTGTCAGTTTATCTCTCTAAAGGAAAAAAAAGTAGTTATTTTCCATCACAGCTGTGAGTTTCTCACAACCGAGCAGCATTTCTACTGAAAACCAAATCCTTCACCCCTTCAGCGGGTGATATCATCTCACTTTCATCTGTGTCATGCTTTCATGCTCTCATAGAAGAGTTCATACTAAAGCTCTAGATGTGACAGAAAGCCTTCGCTATTGTTCTGTTGGTAGAAACGTGGGCAATGAGAGCCGTAATCCTAAACCATGGAGCAGAGAACATAATCTGAAGACGCTCTGCCTTTAAAAAGTTCAGTCAACCGTCTTAGTTTAAAAAGTGGAATTACTTGGTTTAATCGGGTAATCTGTAAACAGCAGCTTTCACAATTAATACTTATAGATGTAGGAGTTCTAACACTGCATTTACTAGTTGACAGTGATATTTTAAGTGTTTTCTTTTTTATCGAGCTGGTTATCAGCAATGCACTTTCCACATCAGGGTATTAACACATCAACAGGTATTCACCTTTCTGTATAACATTGCTGTCCGTGTTTCCTTTTCTGTATCGATCATTAGCCCTATTTTTACTACCCTCTGAGAACTGATCCATGCCGAGCTTGGATCAGTAAACCGTGCCGATCTCTGTTCCTGTCCTCTTAGTGGCGATCTACGGTACTACTGCTCTCTAGAGGGAAACAAGCAAACCAACATGGCGGTGCCCGTAACATTCAGGAAGTTTACGGAGAGTCAGGCGAAGAAGGCAGCCTTTGGTGAATTTATTTGACAGTCAGCTTTTGGGAAGTGGATAGGACAAACGATAGTCTAATCAGGGCTTCCAGACGCAGGAAGGTTGAGGTTCATCACACTGCTAGGCAGAACCATCACTGGAAATCGTGTGGCACAGTAGGGAGGCTAGGATTTCTATGAATGTCTGAAGTTTCCTGATTACGGAGGCTGACTGTAAGGAGCCTTCTATGGATAGAGAACCGATCCAGAACTGAACCGGGCCGAGCCCTACTGATGACCTAGTACCAGTTTAGAGAGGTTCAGTTGTGTCTGGCACAGTCCGGTTTAGTTATGCGTGCCATTTACTCTGAACAGTTACCTCGGTTACCATGCTCGGACCGATCTCAGCATGGTTTCTAAAGGGTAGTGGAATATAAACAATAAAAATAAACCATTTAATTTCCCATGGTAGGAGAACAGAAAACAGATTTGCTGATCTATGTTCACTGCCCAGCTTGTTTATACTCCTCCGTAAAAAATAAATTTTGTGAGTCTGGTCTATAGAGGGACTTTCTACTGAGGACAGATAAAGTGTCCTGCTTTGCCCTTTTGTTTCCACCTCTTCAACGGCGCTGTCAAGGAACGCTATGGACAGAGAAAACATGCAAGAGGAGGAGAGTTTAGTGTCGGAGGTCGTGGATGAGTCTCCTCCGTCATCCATTTTTTATTTAGAGGAGGAAAGCGGGGACGAAGATGTTGTGGAAGAGGACGCCAGGGCGGCAGAAGCTTGGTTTGGTGTAGAAGGCTTCCAGCCGTACATGTTTGAGCCCTTGCCTCGCAACGCTGCCTGTTCTGTTTAGCTCTACGCCTGCTGAAGACACAGACGTCCATCCCCGTGAACACTGGGACGCAACTCAGTGGGAAAGGAAAGGATTCTGATTTCTGATTTCAACCGTTGCATATATTAGCTGCGACATATAAATCAAGATGACCGAAAAAAATTTGATTGACAGATGACCGTTGATATATGATTGGATGAATTTAGGTTTTTTAGGCTGACGTAGAACTAACTGGCCTGCAAAAAAACCCCAGATTTTAAGACTTTTTTAAAAAATAGACATTTTCTGCATTTTAGGATAACATCATCTGATAAATAATAAATGTATATACATGTTTATGCCAGAATGATTTGGAATTTAAATATGACATCTCTACTGTCACTGTGTATTCTGATGGATATAGTGAGTTGAGTTGACTTATCCCAGTTCTCCAGAATATGATCCATTACCAGGACTTTCTACCACTTTCTTCCAGAAGAAACTCAACCCAGCTCCTGGTTAAAGTTTGATGCTTAAGTTATGCAGACTTACTGTCTTCTCTAATAGCTACCAAAGGGAATTCTTTTTCAAGGTGGAACAGGAAATGTTATTTTCTTCCTGTTTATAAAAATATTTGTTCTGTTTTTTCTTTGTTTTTGAAATCCTAATTAACCCTACAGCACTTCTCTGTTTTATTTTTGATCATGTAGATATTTTGAGGGATGAGGAGATGCACAGACTCATTATTCTGCAGAGGAGGATGAGTCTGGTAAATGGGAAAATTGATTTTTATTCAGAAGGAATCTCTGCACTCCGCTGCTACTGCAGTTGTCCAGATGTTGGGTTCAATTCCAGTCTAGATAAAGCTTATAGTTAGAGGGACTCAGGTTATCCTGAGCTATCTCTATAGATATGCTGCTATAGGGTTAGACTGCTGGAGGACATAGGGTCCGCTTCGTCTGAATGTATTCGCTGCGAACAACAAAGATGGGGTGTTTTCAGGGTCAGCGTGAAAAGAACCGATGGTTCGGTTTTGGTTTAACTACAAAGAAACTCAGAGCTTCATCTTCTCACTTCTCATCATCGTCACTGTTTTACGCTCCCCATCTGTGCCCATAGCTGTTGTTTATCTTCATCTCTGTTCTGTTCACAGATGGGTAATTAAATTCAACATCCTGCCAATATGAACTTGTTTCAATTCATTATCCTAATGTCATTCAGCCTAAATATTTTACTAAACTTTAACTAATTCCTGTTTAACCTTGTCCCCTGTCCTGTTTTCTTTCACACTGGGCTATGCACTAATAGTGTAATTGCCTTAGCATTGACCTTGGTCCTGGAAGCTTGGCCTCCCTTTGAACTTGATGTTTACATTTTTTGCCACTAGCTAGAATGACATCAGCACATGGCGTTACACATATTTCTCCTGGCATTTTTCTCCAAGAGCACCTTCTCTTCTCTTCTGTCCTCTGTTGAGACCTGATGAGTTATTGTGGTATAGTAGGAGCTCTCTCTTTGTCCTTTTGCCTGTGCAGAAATCCACTGTGAACTCAGCAGCACTTGTTTAACCTTCCTCTGAGGCTGATGTTTGCTGTAGTTGGGTTCATGCAGCAAATATTTTTCACTCTGAGTGGAGAATCCTAGTCAATACCTCGTTCTCTCAGTCTTTGTTGTCGTTGAGGAATAAAATCTAAAAAAATCTCAATGTTTGTAAAATGAGAGTGTTTTAGATAGACTGATATGAATTTATTGAGCTTTGATTGGGTTCTTTCTTTTCATTTCCTAAAGTCAGGGGCGGATTTAGGAAATTCGGGGCCCTAGGCAACGACAGGCATGGGGCCCTTTGAAATGGGAAGACAACACATCAAACAGACCAATTCTACAGATAGAGAAATGTTAATAAAATAGACATCCATTATCTGTTCTAGATTGTGTCCCTCTCTTCTTGTCCCTTTTCTTCTTGTTTTCCTCTCTATGTTTTGTACTCAGCTGACTTTTCATGCTGTCTCTAAAGGAATGAAAGATTTTTTCCAAGCACTAAGCTCACTTAGCTGATTGCTCCTTCCTGTGTTTCCAAAAAGGCCAAAGTAAATAACCCAGTCCTTCTTTTCACTGTAGACAAGCCATGATCTGCTTCTCTGTTCTCCATTTTTCATTTGGATGAAATAATAGCTGCATGAATCATGACAGCAGACAAGATAGAGGAGAGCAGGAGGCGGGGTTACCAATCTACTCGCTCTGGAGAGCAGAGTTCGCTGCTTTTAGATGTTGTCTCCAAAGTCTCCGGTAGCAGAAAAAAAGTTGCTAGATTTTGCACTAGGCGCTTTATTTAAAATCAAAGTGCTAGAGGGGTCTGAAAAGTTTCTAAATATAGCGACTTAAGCACTAAGTTAGCAGCACTGCTCAGGCAGTACTGCGGCAGGGGCGGAGGCACATTTGCATTCACTGCGACACACGCAGGTGACCTGGTTTCTGAGCATAAATCAGCCTTAAGGGAGAGTTCAGACACACTATGGAGAAAACTCATGTATGCTGCTTGTATCCAGGATCTCATTCCTTTGGTCATGACCCAAAGCTCATGAACATGACGGTAGAAGCTGGCAACATCTTACTGGTTATTATTATTTATCCAGGAAATACTTGTCTTTCAAGATAGAAACTCTTTACCAGGAAACATCAGACACAAGGTGATAAAACATAAACAGCCCTCACCCTACATATCCTTTACTCAGGAATTAAAAGATGTAGGGATTATATTTCACATTTCTTAGCTCTTTAGCTTCCCTTTGTTTCACCCTTATAACTGTAAAAGTTTGACACTCCCACTGAAAGTGCAGATGGTGTTTAATCCTTTTTCCTGCTTTATCTGTTTATATCTGAGCTGCCGTAGCCTACATGTCTACACACCTGATGTGAATATATTACTTTGACTAAAATGACAACTTTTGAATCTGTTTGGTTGCTAACTTGTTTTCATTATTCTCTGTCCAAGCGGTGAAGAGGCTTATGAAAGAAGCTGCGGAACTGAGGGATCCGACCGAGCACTACCACGCCCAGCCACTAGAGGTAAGTCTACAACAGCCTCACTCACAGGGTTCATAGAAAACTTTACACAGCTTTACAGGATATACCACTTTGTCTGTGGAAGGGAGAGGTTAAAGGTCAGAATAGAACAGAATGGACTGAAATGAAGTGACATAACCTTTATAGTCCCACAGTGAAGAAAACCTCATGTTACAGCAGGAGGTAAAATGTTCTGGTGAAGATTCTCAGTCATCCATTGGGGCATTACAGGCTAACAAAGAAGCCAAACGACCCCCATTCCAAAGTGGTGGACCCGTTCATTCATTTCAACTTTCATGTTTTCTAAACTAAAACAAGGCTTTGTTGGGCTGCTGATCAAATCCTGGAACTCAACACTATTTCTGCCATTTTGAATTGAAAAAGCTTCCTGGATGAAAGAGAAACGTCTTTAAACTTGGAAACAAAGTCCAGTGGATTGTTTTTAGCTTTTTTTGGAATGAGCTGGACCTAAAGCACAAATGGCCTCATGCAGACAAACAAAAGCAACAGATATAAAAACCCATAAATATAAGTAAGAGTTTGTAACATAAGGAGAAAACTGCTCAGCTATGCGTTGTTAAAGCTAGCATAACAATAAAACAGTGCGCAAGTGAGCAGAGAGACCTGAATGTGAAAAACCTGTGTGTATCCATAGAAACACCAACAGACTGTCTACAAGCAGGGAAAGCATCTTTGTTGGGAGCAGTGATGACTAGAAAGTCTATAATATTAATGTCTATTACGCCAGTAAAAGTGTAAAAGTAAATTTTTTAAAAACTAATTAAAGCATAAAAGTAAAAATAATGCAGGAAAAAATGTTAAGGACAGAAGCTTTACTGCACTACACTTTTAAAGGAACATTTTTCTACAATTCTGGATGATAACTTCCTTAAACTTCATCTTCTTAGTTTTATAACTAATGGTAACAGTGTCAGATTTAACGTTGCATCGTCTTGAAAAACTGTTTATTTTGGTTTGTGGTGAACAACAGGTTGGGGCAGCACCAAGTCAAACCACAAAAAAATTTATTGTCTGGATGAAACAAATTATTTTGATGGTTTTTACTTTTTCTAAATACCAGGCCAGAATGAAATGAGCTGAAATGACAAGAAACTAATGAGTCTATTTTTAAAATGTAAGGAGTAGAAAATAAAAAGTTGTGTAAACAATAATGACTCCAGTAAAGTACAGATAGACGACATTTCTACTCAAGGTAACAAACTATTTTTACTTTCAGCTCTGCTAACTGCTGCTTAGAGGAACCATTGAAGCTGCTGGTGAATGCTAGGAAATAATAAGACCCTAAATTATAGTATAGTTAGCCTAATCAGGGGCGGATCTAGGAAATTTGGGGCCCCAGGCCAAGACTGGCATGGGGCCCTCTGAATTGAGAAGACAACACATAAAACAGACCCATTCTACGATACAGAATGTTATATTAAATTGTATTATTTATAAATTAGCACTTTTTTTAAAATCAAAGTGCTAGAGGGGCCTGACAAGTCGTTAATATAGCTCCAACAGCACTAAGGTGGCAGCACTGCTCTTTGCATGGTTTGTTTTCAAATGGTTTGCTGCTGTCTGTTTGGACCTTTCTGAACATGTGCAGCAAATGGACTGATCCAATATGGTGGACACTGAAGGGGGGGCTGAGACACAGTTAATATTATAGGTGTGCTGATGGCATTTTTAGTGAAAAACATAACTAATTTGCACAAATGAGGAATAGTTGTATAAACCATACATGGAAACAGAGTTTTGAAAACAAAATAACTTTTTTCTTTAGTTTGCAGAGTAAAACCAGTCTTTCTGTTAGGGTTCAGTGCTGCCTCACCTTCTCAGCTTCACATTCAAATCGATGCTTATTTTCATTTCCCTCTGCTTACAGGACAACCTCTTCGAATGGCACTTCTCTGTTCGCGGGCCTCCAGATTCAGACTTTGACGGTGGGGTGTACCATGGCAGGATAGTTCTGCCCCCAGAGTACCCCATGAAGCCTCCCAGCATCATCTTGCTAACAGTAAGACACAGAAAAGCCTTGTTTTTGTCAAGTTGATCAGATTAGATCTGTAAAGACAGGAGAAAGTTCAGCCAGCCCTCCATCTATTAACACACCTGCTGGATCTGCTGCCCACTCTGGATCATTTCTCCTACTGTTCTCCTCTCTCTTATTGTTTTCTGTATTTCACAGACATTATTAGTGCTTTTTATCATTTTTATGCCAGAAATGGTCCTTTGCTGTCAGGCGTTAGACATATATAAGATGACGTGTTTTTTTGTGTGGCTAGCAGCAGTTTGCCTCCAGCTCGTTTCTTTTGTTCTTCCTTGCAGCCAAATGGGAGATTTGAAGTCGGGAAGAAGATTTGTTTGAGCATCTCAGGACACCACCCAGAGACCTGGCAGCCTTCATGGAGCAGTAAGTATGATCCAGAGCCATGTCTGATCCAGCCTTCTGGTTCCTTTCTCTATTTAATAATCTGCTAATAACTACTAAGGTTGTGAGAAAAAAAATCGTTTTGGCGATATATCGTGATTTTTGTCTGCCTCATATAATATCAATCTTTCAGTTCCTGGTATCGATTATTTTTTTTTTTTTTTAACTAAATATTTTTACCTAAAACTGAGGGGAAGTGGGCTACCTCTGCACCGCCACTCTGTCAGATGACACTGTGGAGCCCTTTTGCTTTGCGGAGCTGCATCATATCTATAGTGGAGGCACTCACAGTGGAAGACATGGACTAAGTCAGACCCCAAACAACATGGATACCAAAACAGCTAGATCATCAATATTTTCTGATGAACATACACAGCACTGTTTTTTTTATCTATACATTTAATTTTGATGGAAAATAATATTGCAATATATAGTGACATTGCAATATCGTGATAATATTGTATCGTGATCCAAGTACCGCGATACATAATAATGTTGAAACCACCATGCTGATACTCACCCCTAATAACTGCAGAAAGATGAGAGCATTTTCTGCATGTTTAGATGATTAACTTCAGGCTTGACCTCCTCAGAGCTGGAGGTTTTTTAAAGCTGGTTTGGATGTCAAACATTTAGCTCTGCATGTGATGCGTCCTTATAGAGCTAAGAGGTGTGTACCGGTACATGGGCATCAATGTTAGTGCATGTTTAGCTTTTAAATTCATGTTTTGGTTCGTTTTCACTAAAGAACAAGAAAAAAGTAATGATTAATTTTATTAAAGGGGCAGAGCCAGGTTATGACATTGTCCTAATATAGACTTAGACCTACAGTGTAGACAACGTTCATTGTCATTTTGTATAGAAATGAATTTTCGGTTTGTCCAGCTCTCATAACATTTCCATTTTTTAAAGTGCAGCAGCATACATGAGCTATATATCTGTTATTCTTGTGTTTTACTCTTTGTTTTTGCTCAGTTTGTCAGTAAATGAAGCTAATATATACAATGACAACATTACTTGACTGGAGGTACTATTCTGCATATTTGCCTAGAAGGTAACTGAGCTTTAGTGAGTTAGCGTCTCTCAGGGAAGTTATGGAAATAATGAAGAAAATTCCAAGATCAAAAATCTTTGATTGTAAGAGAGAAAAGACTGGATCATGGCTCTGAATGCAGCATGATGTTCGCTGAGGCCACGGCTTCAGACACGGCTGCTGACGAAACACTTTTAATCTCTGCAGTTTATTGACAAACATTATAAAGAGGCAGAGGTTGGTAGAGTACACAAAAAATGTACTCAAGTAAGAGTAGCATTAAAGTATTTGGTAAAAAGGCTTCTAAAGTACTGGCTACCTATGATCATAACAATTTAATATTTTACAAACATTTTAAATTGAACAAAATTTTAAGTGATATGACAATTTTCAGTTTTAAAGTATATGATAAGAATAATCATATTACATTATGTAATTACTCAATAAAACTTTACTTATAACATACATTTCTGAGTTATAAAACGTACGAAATGGGTAATCACAGCATTTAGAACAGGTTAAATGATAGAGTACTATATTTTCACTCTACCTTAAAATGATACGGCAGACTCAGCAGATGGAAAATACATTTTACCGATAAATATTGAGTACAAAAAAGAAGAAAAAGTGACTCTTAATGGTGGATGTGTGTTTAGAACAAGCTTGTTTTCATTAAGTGAAGTTACTGACAATAGATGGAGCAGCCAGAAATGTTACTCAAATAATAGTAAACAGTACGATGCTCTAGAATAATTACTCCCTGCCTGAATGAAACAACGAGGTGCCTTCTGCCGTCACAGCTGCTAAGATTGAAAAGGCTACGCAAGATCAGCAATCATCTTACTGCGGAAATAATATTTAAATACATTTAATTTACATTTATTTCAATGAAAAGGTTTTAGCCTTTAGTTTAATTAATAAATCCAAGTGAACTATTGCTGATCTTGATGCTTTATCCCTGTTTATGTTTGTTAGGAACAGGAAATATCTTCTAGCTGGGTGTTCTGCCAGGACGCTCTGGGAAGGATTGACTGGAACTTATGTTGGCGATGACGTCAGGGTGGCCTAAAAAAAAAAAAAAACTTTTAATATCTCTAAAACAACTAGAGCACATGTAATCTTTATTATTTTACATTTTCATTTTAAATGCCCTAACCTGCACTAAAGCAGCAATAACAATTCAGTCTATTTGTTGAGTTTTTTTCACATTGTGCGGTTTCAGCTTCACGCAGCTGAAGCTCCTCCCATTTGATGATGCGGTCCAGGAAGTAAACACTGCGCCTGAACTAACTTGCGGAAATCCCCGCCTTCATCACATGCTGTGGGAACGCATCATAAAGAAATCCACCATCAGCTCAATTGTGAGCCAACTACATTCCACAAATACAGACACTCTGTCATAACATGACAACTTGAAATTTTCACTTCTTTTTTTGGCGTTACAAAACATGTTCTATCCTGGTATAAACCGGCTCATTTTGTCCCCAGCGCTCCACAGAAAAGCAATATCCAGTAATATCCGTAACAATCAACCTTTTTTTTTTATGGAGAAGTAAAAATATCAGCAGAAAAGAAAATTTTTTTGTGTGTCTTCTGAAATATCTCCACCACTTTAGATGATCTTATCTACCTTACATGGGCTTATTCACCAATCTGTTTGCTCCCAAAATCAAGAATAAATTCCTTCCTCAGTATTCACTTCACTCAGGAGTGAAAGGAAATGACTAGATACGCCCAGAAAATGTTTAATGGAGAGAAAATCGTTCAGAGAACATCTGTTTAAAGCTCAGTAAAGTAATGGTTTTTGGGGGGTTTAGTCATAAAATTAAATAATCCAGTTTGGTAGTTTCAGTTCTAATTTGGATCAGATGTGATGAATGAACATTTTGTATAAAAGAAAGGTCACAGTTTCACAAACATTAGGACCCAGAGATCTGAAACTCTACACACTTGTTCACAACATGAACAGTGTAATAAGTTGTAGATGTCCACTGACTCCATCCTGGAGAGAAATATCAGCTGTGCTGCTGCCATCAACACCTTTGTTTCTAGATGTTGGAGATCGGCCTGTTTTTCAGTGTAGTCCTGTTTCTCTGACTGTGACTAACTGGATGTGCTCTCTTCATCCTCTGACATGGGAGCTGGCTCGGAGCTCGTCTGCCTGGCTGTGTGTTTCCTGGACGGGGCCGCTTTTTTACAGCTGCTTTTTCTATGTCTGCTTCTGTCTCCTTGAACCCCAGTGGGCCTCAGCAGATGGCCGCTCACACTGAGCCTGGTTCTGCTGGAGGTTTCTTCCTGTTCAAAGGGAGTTTTTCCTCTCCACTGTCACTACAAGCATGCTTAGTGTGAGGGATTGCTGAAGAGTCAATGAGTTGATGCAATCAAACTTTGAATCGATGTGACTGGATGATCTGGTGAACTGGAAAGTGACTTGAGATGACAGGTTGTGAATTGGTGCTATAGAAATAAACTGAATAGAATTGAATTGAATGAGTTGGAGCTTTCAACTATGAATTATACCCAAGATATAGAATATTTGTAATATTTGTTAAATTTATTACTGACACAGAAAAAGCAAAGTTATTTCATATGCTCTATAAATTATTTCATAATTACCTTTAAACAACACAGGAGAGAAAGTCTAACTAATTTCATCACTGCAGATTTTTAGTATGATTATTTCTATTTAGAAAATAAGAAGACTCACAGTAGGATCAGAGAAGTGATATATATGGTAGTGGTTTTTAACCGGTTGGGTGGTCTGACTTCTTCCACTGTCAGGTTAAATGAGCTGTAATCATGATGATAGAAGCTCCAGGCTTTACCTATAGGAGTATAATCGGTGCTTTCAGACGGTCAGCCTAACGAGGTTCATCGTTAGTATCTTAGCAACAGAACTGAGGAACAAGATGTCTTATAGACAGTTCTTTGAATCCATAACTTTGTGATTATTCACTTAGAAAATCTGTAATCATATAATAGTTTTTGACAGTCGGATATTGACCAGCTCTTTTTATTTTATTGTCCTTGATGTAATTTGATGTTTATGTTCTTTAGAGTCTGATGGAGATGATCCCTTCATGGTTTAGATAATAAATGCAGCTGAATGATGAACGTTCAGTTTTAAACCTACTGAATGATTATAAGGTTGTTTAACCCTATGATGCTATATAACCTACATAAAACCTTTCTCTCCTCTCTTCTTTCTCTTTTGCTCGTGGTGTTTTTTGTCTCCAAGTTCGAACTGCACTGATTGCCATCATTGGTTTCATGCCTACCAAAGGTGAAGGAGCGATCGGATCTCTAGATTATACCCCAGAGGAGAGAAAGACTCTGGCCAAAAAGTAAGGCTGTGTTTAAGTTCCTCCACAGATATAAGGATGAGCAGTTAATGCTCTTTACTGTATAGATCCATGCTACACAGATGTCAGCCTATAGTGTTATCATCAGACACTATAGGCCCATCCAGGAAACTTTTTCAGTTCTATTGAAAAATCTTCCTGGATGGAAAGCAAAACATCTTTAAACTTAGAAAAAAAAGTCCAGTATATTGTAATTAACTTTATTGGAACGACCATGATTAGGATGACTGAGAATCTTCACCAGCATATTTTTTTTATGATTGTTTTTATTTTGTCTACATGTATTTTATATGGTGCTGCTTTGTATTCTATGCCTCATATTGTACAGCACTTTGTGACGCCTGCCTGAGAAATATAAATAAACCTACTTAATTTAAGAAATGTTTACTGACTTTCAGAACGTTTTTGCAGTGCAGTTCCCTCCTCTGTTAGCAGACTCGATCGGGATCAGCTCGTTGATTTATTGGCACATTTAATAAATTCATTAGACAGATTTTACTCTAACTCCAGGTGTTCCTTTTTCTCAATTTATAAGACTGAAAAGCTGATATTTTGTTCAGTTCAAATGTTATACAGAACAAAAAAGCCAGTTGAAGGTCTGGAATATGAATATTTAAATAAAATGACAAGTTCTTCATAGTGAATAAAGTCAACGCTAACATGGCTTCTCCACAGACATGATCATCAGATGTTTTAACTTTGACAGAATGAGACAGAAAAAAACACTAGTGGAGCTGTGAGACCAAAGACCTGCTTTGCTTTGCTCCTTCCAGGTCTCAGGACTTCTGCTGTGAAGCCTGTGGCTGTTCGATGCGTTCTGCCCTCCTGCCTCTGACCTCCAACAGTAACCCTAGTGCAGAAGATCGCCAGGCCAAAGAACTGGCTCAGCAAATCAATTTCAAGGTAAAGACGACGGCATGGAGGTGCCTTCCTTCACAGCTCATCCAGGCTTTCCTGGAAAATGTCAGCTCTTTTTAATCCGTCTGTAACTGAAATAGAATGGGAGGCAGATCTTTTAGTTATCAGGCTCCTCTCCTGTGGAACCAACTACCAGTTTTAGTCCGTGAGGCAGACACCCTGTCTACTTTTAAGGCTAGGCTTAAAACTTTCCTTTTTGATAAAGCTAATAGTTAGAGTGGCTCAGGTTATCCTGAGCTATCTCTATAGTTATGTTGCTATAGGCTTAGACTGCTGGAGGACATAGGGACCCCTATTTCATCATTCTGCTTCATTCTATCTCTATTCTCCCACTCTGCAGAATCTGTTAGTTCAATCTCTAACGTTCTGCTCTCTCTGCTTTTTCTCATAGTAGCTTCATCTGGTCTGTTCCTGTTTGGCTGTGACTCCATCCTGGAGAGAAATATCAGCTGTGCTGCTGCCATCAACACCTTTGTTTATAGATGTTGGAGATCGGCCTGTTTTCCAGTGTAGTCCTGTTTCTCTGACTGTGACTAACTGGATGTGCTCTCTTCATCCTCTGACATGGGAGCTGGCTCGGAGCTCGTCTGCCTGCCTGTGTGTTTCCTGAACGGGGCCGCCTGTGGAGCTGGTTGACAGTTGCTTTTTGTATCTATGCTTCTTTTTCTATGTCTGCTTCTGTCTCCTTGAACCCCAGTCGGCCTCGGCAGATGGCCGCTCACACTGAGCCTGGTTCTGCTGGAGGTTTCTTCCTGTTAAAAGGGAGTTTTTCCTCTCCACTGTCGCTACAAGCATGCTTAGTGTGAGGGATTGCTGAAGAGTTAATAAGTCAATGCAATCAACTGGTTTTCCTTGGATAGAAAGCTTTGATAAATCTGTCTGCTGTCTCCATGCAGGCTGAGTCCGCTCCAGTAGCACAGGCTGGTACCAGTGGAGATGAAGCTCCAGCAGTCACCCCGGCAGAGGCCTCCTCTTCTGCAGAGCTACAAGCTGATGAGCGGCACCAAGCTGGACAGGTGGGTTTCAGGCAGCCATTTTGGATTACACAGGAAGGCTCTATTTCTGCTTTGTTTGGTTGATCGATGGGATCAAAGCTTCTTTCTGCTTTTAGTGTTGGTGGAAGATTTAACACATTAACATTAAAAGAAACACCAGCTGCTTCTGCTGCCTCTATTGTGTGCAGTCTGAACGTAGCATAACACATGCCTTTAGCTGACAGAGCACTTAGAGCAGGAATTATATCAAAAAAAAAAAAAAATATATATATATAAACATTTTGCATTTAAGACAAAAAAGCGAATTTCTTCAGTCAATCTGCTCTATCCAGAAATCCTCTAGTGGAAAATCTTTAGTTTCACCTGGTTTAATTTAATAAAAAAAATTATTTAAGGAACCTTTGGCTATCCGATTATTAATCAATTAATTGAAAATATAATCAACAGATTAATCAATTTGCAGAATAATGGTTACTTGCAGCCCTGATCATGTGACCATGTGAAGAATTGATCTGTTTGCTTTATTAGAGAAACTCCCTCAGACTCCCAGGGGTCTTTGACTTGTCAGGTCTCTCAAGAATACAGTTTTGTTTTTTTGGCAAAAATGTTTCCTTCCACTCAACTTTCCATGAATATGCTTGGATACAGCTGCTTCAGCGTGAAGGCTTTCCCTCTGTGTGACGGGTGTTTCCTTCTGGACATCTGTCCCATCTGCAGTCTTCGCCCTGAGGCCAGAATAAGGTCTTTATGTAACACTGGACATTACAGTATTCTTCTTGAAGTTGGAGTTATGTAACATTCTCATTTTCCAAGACACTGGACTTTGCCTTTTCATTATCTGAAGGCCATGATCATGAAGATTACAAGAAATAAGGCTTAGAAGGTTTTGCTCTTGGTGTGATGATTAATATTTAAGTATTACTTCCAGTGACCAGAAAAAAAAAAATATTCTAATCCAAGAAGCTCAGTTGAGGGAGGAGTCACTGACCTGTCAGAGCAGGAGACATTAAGATGACCCTGATGGGGAGAAGAATAGAATAGAATAGAATAGAATAGAATAGAATAGAATAGAATAGAATAGAAAATCCCTTTATTGTCCCACAATGGGGAAATTCTGATGTTTACAGCAGCAAAAAGATTATAGAATATTCTATTCTATTCTAGTCTAAAAGTGGGCCCTATAAAAATGTATAAAGATAACAGAATAGTGAAGAGAGATAAACAAATAAAATACTGTACTATAAAGTGTTTTAACAATCTAAAACTGCGCACCTGGAGAATAAATAACCAATATCCATCTATGGACATTTTTACAGTAATGGATATTTGAAAATAGCAGCAACATCAGAGATGTGCAAAATGACAGCAGCAGGTTATTATTTAACTAAGATAGAAACCGTGCAAAATCAGCATGAATGGAACAACTGATTGAGGTTGTTGGGAACAGTGGTGGTTCTTGAGCAGGGGTGCTCAAGTCCAGTCCTTGAGAGCTACTATCCTGCAACCTTTTGATGCAACCATTTTAAACACACCTAAATCAAATGAGTGGCTCGTTACCATGCTTCTGCTGAGCTAAATGAGGGGGTTGAAGCTTTAGATTCAGGTGTGTTAGAGAAGAGATGCATCTTAAAGTTACAGGATGGTAGCTCTTCAGGACTGGACTTGAACACCCCTGTTCTAGAGTTTTCTGGGAGGAAGGGTCTGTGATAACGCTCCCTGGTGCATTTAGGGTGCAGCAGTCTGTCACTGAAGGAGCTCTCCAGTTCAGCACCAGCTGAACCAGCATGGGGGTGGGAGACATTATCCATCAGAGATGTTAATTTAGTTAGGATCCGTCTGTTTTCCACCTCCTGCACTGAGTCCAGAGGGCATCCAATCACAGAGCTGTTCTTCCTGATCAGCTGATCCAGACGCTTCCTCTCAGCTACAGATGAGCCACTGCTCCAACAGACAGCTCCATAGAAGATGGCTGATGCCACAGCAGAGAGGGAGGAGCAGGTTTCAGGCAGGAGGGAACAGAAGAGGTGATGAGAGCAGATCCTATTTCTGAAGCATTTATTTTTTATGCTTCAGAAATCTTTTTAAAGGAAGATCTAGATTTATAAACATTCTAGGGAGTCAATGGTATAAAACATTGATGGGTGATGAAGGCGAGGCTGCTGCTAGAGGAAGATCAACAATTTAACCTCAGTTTCCCTGGAACTCCTCGGTACGTTCCAACATTCTGTGCAGAGATGCAGGCAAGAGTCTGATTTAGTTGCTTCAAATGATTTCTGCAAATCAATGAAAATCTCCAATCAGATTGATTTAAAGTTTTTTTATCTAAGGAAAACCAGTTCAGCAATCCCTCACACTAAGCATGCTTGTAGTGACAGTGGAGAGGAAAACCTCCAGCAGAACCAGGCTCAGTGTGAGCGGCCATCTGCCGAGGCCGACTGGGGTTCAAGGAGACAGAAGCAGACATTCAAGAGGAACACAGAAGTACTGATCCATGAACACCATCTATGTTAGAGAAGATAAACCAGCTCTGTCTGGGAGAGAAACATGTCTAAAGCCTTTCTAGTTTGCTTTGAGAATCGACCAGATGCACTAAAAGGTCTCTAACTCCTCTCCAATTTTCCTCCGGGCCTCGAAGGAGCTCTGAAGCTGCATTTCCATATATGTGCTTTCTGAAATTTCTTTATACATGCTCCCAATTGGTAGAATTATTAGACAGCATGGGATTAATTTCCACTGTTATGCTGATGATACCCAGCTATATCTGTCTATAAATCCAGATGAAGCTAACCCATTACATAGATTACAGGCATGTCTTGAAGACAAAAACCTGGATGACTCTTAACTTTCTGCTTCTGAATGCAGACAAAACAGAAGTTATAGTCTCTGGACCAGAGTCTCTGAAAAAGAAACTGATTAGCCAGTCACTTCATTTGGATGGGATTAAACTGATTTCAGATAATAAAGTAAAAAATCTTGGTGTTATTTTTGATCAGGACCTGTCATTTAAATCCCATATCAAAGAGGTTTCTAGAATTTCCTTCTTTCATCTGAGGAACATTGCAAAAATTAGAAATATCCTGTCCAGGGGTGATGCTGAGAAACTAGTCCATGCATTTGTTACTTCAAGGCTGGACTATTGTAATTCTTTACTATCAGGAAGTCCACAAACTGTAGTTAAAAGCCTTCAGCTGATCCAAAATGCTGCAGCCAGAGTTCTGATGAAAATGAAAAAGAGAGATCATATCTCTCCTATCCTGGCTTCTCTTCATTGGCTTCCTGTTAAATCCAGAATAGAATTTAAAATCCTCCTTCTCACATATAAAGCCTTAAATGGCCAAGCTCCATCTTATATCAGAGATCTGATTGTTCCTTATGTTCCTAACAGAGCACTTCGCTCTCAATCTGCAGGTTTACTAGTGGTTCCTAGAATTTCTAAAAGTAGAATGGGAGGCAGATCTTTTAGTTATCAGGCTCCTCTCCTGTGGAACCAACTACCAGTTTTAGTCCGTGAGGCAGACACCCTGTCTACTTTTAAGGCTAGGCTTAAAACTTTCATTTTTGATAAAGCTTATAGTTAGGGTGGCTCAGGTTATCCTGAGCTATCTCTATTGTTATGCTGCTATAGGCTTAGACTGCTGGAGGACATAGGGACCCCCATTTCATCATTCTGCTTCATTCTCTCTCTGTTCTCCTATTCTGCAGAATCTGTTAGTTCAATCTCTAACCTTCTGCTCTCTCTGCTTTTCCTCAGAGTAGCTTTGCCTCGTCTGTTCCTGTTTGGCTGTGACGTCATCCTGGAAAAAAACATCAGCTGTGCTGCTTCTATCAACACCCTTGTTAATAGATGTTGGAGATCGGCCTGTTTTCCAGTGTGGTCCTGTTTCTCTGACCGTGACTGAGTGGATGTGCTCTCTTCGTCCTCTGGCATGGGAGCTGCCTTGGAGCTCGTCTGCCTGGCTGTGTGTTTCCTGGACGGGGCCGCCTTTTACAGCTGCTTTTTGTATCTCTGCTTCTGTCTCCTTGAACCCCAGTCGGCCTCGGCAGATGGCCGCTCACACTGAGCCTGGTTCTGCTGGAGGTTTCTTCCTGTTAAAAGGGAGTTTTTCCTCTCCACTGTCGCTACAAGCATGCTTAGTTTGGGGGATTGTATTTGAGTCAATGAGTCAATGCAATCAACTGGTTTTCCTTAGATAGAAAACTTTGTATCAATTTGACTGTATGATCTGGTTGAACTGTAAAGTGCCTTGAGATGACATGTGTTGTGAATTTGGCGCTATATAAATAAACTGAATTGAATTGAATTGAAACCATCTAGATCTACTGGTAGCAGTGGGATTGAGTCCCTGCCAGTACAGACCTGTTGGTGGACCATGAAAGGTGAAGCTGATGACCTGTTTCTCACTGTGTCTCCTTCCTCAGGCAGGTGCAGAGGAGCCTCAGACCCGCGATGAACGCAGCCCCACCCGTCCACTCAGCCCCAGACAGCGCAGAGCTCAGCAGCACAGCCGGCAGCCTCCCAGAGCCGGCAGAGAGCCAGCAGCCAGCAGGGCTGCCTTCGCCCCGCCTCCTCGCCACAACGAGAGCCACGCAGGCTCCGTGGTCCTCATCCTCGTCCTCACCCTCGCTCTGGCCGCCCTCATCTTCCGCAGGATCTACCTGGCTAACGAATACAAGTTTAACTACGATCTGTGATGCCTCTCGCCGCTGCTGCAGCCTCTGCAGAACTTTGAGCGGTGAGGAAGCAGAGACCAAGCAGCCGCTAACACTGACTTTTAGGGCTTTTCCAGCCAACGGTCCAGGAACAGAGGGGGCTGGTTCTTCAGAACACCGTCACGCCGTCACATAGAAAGTGTCTTCCAGTGTGCCCCCCCTGCCTCCCTCTGATCAGCCATGCTTTAGCAGAGGAACACTGACCCAGTGTGACATATTTTCTCTTTTAATTTTAGTTTAGAACTTCTGATTCTTGATATTTAGACCTGCTTTCTGATGCAAACCTCCTGAATCCAAACAGGGCAATAAAAAATGAAGCACCTTCATCTGAAGTTGTAAAATGCTATTACAGCGTTTTCTTCTTCAGCATAAATACAACAAACCCAAGACTAGATGGTGTTAATCTACCCCTGAAACTGGTTCTGTTCCATCAGGTCCAGATGATTTTAGTTTAGTTCTAACTCTAGGGACCAGCCCTGATTTTACCGCTGGAACCAGTTTGCTGGGAAAGCCCGCTGTGCTCTTCCACCTCAGCAGATGATCCTTCCTGCTGTCGACCACTTCTCACCTTCAGGGTGTCTTTTAATCAGCGGGACTTTAACTGCCTGGAGCTTTGTGCATTTTTTTAGAAACAGGAAGCTTTTTTTTCTGGTTTGCAGACAAAACATGCCTCCCTCCTGTAATTACTGGGTATCCACCGGCTGTACTTACTCTGGTCATTAAAACTAAGTGAGCTTCATGGGCAAATGTGAGATTTTTTTTATCTTAAACTAATGGAAGGATTCCCATGAAATGCATGAACTGGAATGATTTCACTGCTTCCTGAACATCTGATGATGTTGGACCAAGAATCTGGAGAAAGTCTTAGTTTATAAACTATTGTTTTCCTCTTTTTCACATTTAAAGATTGGGAGCGAGGGTTAGGATATGTGTGTGTGTGCTTCTCTGGAATCAAAGCAGCAGGTTTTTAATTTTGGGAGATCTGATGGTCTCCATTCATTTTAAAGGTATAATCCATCAACAGTGATCACTGTTAATGTTTGTACCAAGATCATAGTTCCTTTGCCAAAGAATCACCATCCATGATTCGGTTTGTGTTGCTCACTGAAATAAATCTGATGATAAAAACTGTTGGTGTTTATTTAAAAAAAAAAGAAAAGAAAAACTCTATAAGAGATTTTCTGCTTTTTGTGTGAAGAATAAACACCTCAACCACAAGACCAGAGCTGATTTCTGTTACATTTGGTTCTTTCAGGTTTTTATGTTTAATGAGCTGTTAGCTACACTTTGATAACAGTAGAAAACACTTCTTTAAAAGAAAGAAATAAATCAAAAAGCCTTCAGCAGGTATGAAGAGAAAGGAGTGAAGTGCAGAATGTTTCCCTGGATCCTAAAACCACAGCGTTGTTTAGTAACATTGCTTTAACCCTTTATAGGGCATTCAGTGAAAGACTAAGCTTCTAAATTTCAAGCAAAGAGTACACTGCAAAAAACTGAAATCTAAGAAAGTAATTTTTTTTCTTAAAATAAGTGCATTAATAAGTGCATTTTTTCTTGAACTGAGCAGGTAAGTGAGATACTTTGCAAATGGATTAAGAAAATTGACATTTAAAATAAGGGGGAAAAATGCAGTCTCCTATTTCAAGTGCACAATATCAAATAATCTTTAAGGATAAAAAGTGCTCCTTCAACTGGGAGATTTTCTTATTTACCTACTCAAATTAAGGGTAAATACACTTTAAGACATTTTCACACATTTATAGATCATTTTTGTAGTGTTATTGGAATCCAGGAAAAGACCTTTTTACCTTTGTAACGTTAAAAAAAGATGTATATTTTGATGGCAAAAATAAATGTCAATGTAATAACAAGAAATGCCAACTTATTTATTATAAAAAATAACTATAAGAAATTTGTGAAAAACACAGAGTAAAAGAAATGGCACTCAATTTGTAAGGGGTATGCTAGTGATCAAAAATGGTAACTTGCCCTATAAAGAGTTAAACAAATCAAATCTCATCCAAACTACCCTCCTGATCATTTTGGTTTGCTCCAAGTGCCTTCCAACCACACCTGGAGCACTGCTGCCGTGCCCTGCTGAGGAGCCCAACCAGGAAAAGGTTGGTACTTTAACTTAACAGAAACTAAGGAAAAATAATTGACATTCATGTTCACAGTGACACAGTGGGTAGCACTGCTGCCTTGCAGCAAGAAGGTTCTGGGTTCCATTCCTGGCCCGGGGTCTTTCTGCATGTAGTCTGCATGTTCTCCCTGAGCATGCATGGGTTCTCTCCAGGTACTCTGGCTTCCTCCCACAGTCCAAAAACATGACTGTTAGGTTAATTGGCTTCTCTAAATTCTCCTTAGCTGTGATATGAATGATTGTTTGTCCCGTTTGTCTCTGTGTTGCCCTGCGATGGACTGGAGACCTGTCCAGGGGGGACCCCACCTCTCACCCGTAGACAGATGGAGATAGGGACAAGCAGCCCTCGTGACCCCAGCAGGGATAATGGTGAAGGGAAATGGATGGATGGTTTACACTTCTTTCCACAGGCAGGAGGACCAGTCCTTCTGCTTCACAAGAATGCATAAAAATGTCCAAACAAAACTACAATAAAGAACTCAAACAACCCAACTATTTGTTCCAACTTAATACTACATAACACTAAATCAATAATCATATTTTATGGGGTAATGGGACTCCTGGTCCCCGTTATAATTACGCTAATTATTGAAATAGATTTACCATAAATGATGTCACTTCTGGGGTTACATTAGAGCTGAGATATTTACCAGTCTTCTGTTTGGCTTGTTTTAGCCACCATAGTACCGCCTGCTGTGCTGCTGGAATATTTCTGAGCCTTTTTTCTAAACTCTATGGGCAGCTTAAAGCAGGATCCACAACAGGAAATGACTGAGACGATGGGATAGAAATGGCCCAGGCAATCACCCAACAGGCTTCCCTTCACTTCACTTCTATCCAGTTCAAAATGCAAAAGTAAATAAATAGAAGGTAGAAATACTAAAAAAAAAAGAAGTATTTACAGTCCAACTATAATGCATCTTAGATTGTGCTCAACAGTAGTACTTGAGTAAAAGTATTGACACATAGCTACTGGGTCAAACATCTATTTAAGGTAAAGTATTAAAGTACTCTCTTTTGAAAGTACTGTAATAAAAATATAAAGGAAATGTTCTAATATCAGAACATTTCTGTATAATTTTCAGAGTAATTTTAAAGAATCTTGTAACTTTCAGAAACATCCTGATCTATTGATGTATTGATGAACTGGTTGAATTGTCTCTGTGCCGTAAAATGACGTGTTGGGAATTGGCGCTATAGAAATAAACTGAACTGAAATGAAGGCGTAGAAACACCTGCTATAGATTCTACACCACCTGGAAAGAACTTCTGCATAAAAATGACACAAAAAGTAAGGGCAGATATTTTGATTATTATTTCTTAATTTAAAAACAAGGCAAAGTGAAAACAGTTGGAGATTCTCCTACTTTTCCTGAATAGAGGTCAAAGGTTGAATCTATCACAGCAGAGAAACTGCAGCTCTGCTCTGGGAACTCATCCTACTGAACAACCTGGTCACATGTCAGCAACTAACATTGTAATAAAAGCTCCCCTCACTATCCTCTGTAGGGCTCTCTTGTCTGCCATGTTTCAGATGAAGTGATTTTCTAATTTGGGATAGAAAACATCTGCAGCTACAGCCTCATTTATGCCAAGATCCACAGCAGAAAGATTCCATTCTCTTTCAACCGGATCATTTTTAAGAAGCAAACTTTTCTGAACCGTCTCTGGATTCCAGGCAGATATATAACAACAGTTTGCAGAAAGCTGAAACCATAAGGGATTATTCAGAGGAGATGTTCTTTTCAGGTTGGTCAGCACCTAAATCTAGGCACCTCTTTTAACCTGATGTTTCACCTTCGTTTATCCTTTGAGAGGAAATGTTCTGCAGACAAAAGAGGATAGAGGAAACATCTTTTTAAGATCAGACTGCACTGTCTCCATCAGCTCTGAGTACAGACTTTGACTAGGCCACTCAAAAAGCCTTCCTTTTAGGTTTTAGGGCAGCATTACTATTCTAGATCACATCCAGGTTAAAGGTCACAATCTAAGGAATGGTTAATCTTCAGGATTTTCTTGTCTTGGTTCTGTTAGTTCCAGCGAGTCATGCAGGTTCTGACGCAACACAGATCATCACACTACATCCTCCATGGCTGACTGCTGGTGTGACGCTCTGTTTCACAAAAAGCTGACACCTAAAAACACAACATTTGTTAAAGGAAAAGTCCGCTCATATTCAGAATACAAACTTCTGAAAGTTCTTTAAATGTAAAATTATTCCATCCTATTCAATAAATGATCAGTTTTTTTAATTCAGATTAATTTTCATGTGAATGTGCTTCACTGGAGGCATCCATGTTTGTCAAAGAACACTACTGCCATCTACTGGTTTGTGACGTCACGTATCGGCTGTTGATCAAGTCCCAGTGCTGTATCTGGTGTTTGTCACAACGCGCTATTATCCAAGTCATTCTGAACTTTTACCCGATCTATTTCAACATCCAGCTGCCATGCACATGGGCATTGTCAGTTTAACTACAGCTTAACTATAGCTACACCAGGGGTGGACTGGGACAAAAAATTGGCCCTGGCATTTTGGACTAGACTGGCCCACCACATTTTTTTTGGTGTACTGAATGTGTGTACCAACTGTGCAATACCAACTGTGCAATACCTTGAGGCCAGGTTCATGGAAATTAGTGAGAGTGGACACTTAAAATACTTCCAAAATCTTAATTTATTAACACTGTAAAATGTAAACTCCACCACAGCACAGCAACAATTCTTAGATCAGAGAGAGAGAGAGACACCACCTGTTGGTTGCATTTTTAATTTCAATTCAATTCAGTTTATTTCTATAGCGCCAAATTCACAACACATGTCATCTCAAGGCACTTTACAGTTCATCAGATCATACAGTCAAATTGAAACAAAGTTTTTTATCTAAGGAAAACCAGCTGATTGCATCGACTCATTGACTCTTCAGCAATCCCTCACACTAAGCATGCTTGTAGCGACAGTGGAGAGGAAAAACTCCCTTTTAACAGGAAGAATCCTCCAGCAGAACCAGGCTCAGTGTGAGCGGCCATCTGCTGAGGCCGACTGGGGTTCAAGGAGACAGAAGCAGACATAGAAAAAGAAGCATAGATACAAAAGGCAACTGTCAACCAGCTCCACAGGCGGCCCCGTCCAGGAAACACACAGCCAGGCAGACGAGCTCCGAGCCAGCTCCC